CTTCGATATAAAAGGAATAGACGGTAGCTGTTCGTATCAAGCAAGTTCAGATTAGCAACAAAAGCATTAACGCAGTTTCTTCTCGCATCAGCGCTGTCCATGTCGGCGTTACCTTTCCGCGAACTGGGTCTGTCGCATTCGACGACTGGGTCTGTGGCCTGCAACTGGCAGACGGACGGCGGTGTATAGATAAATAATGTTTTTGACAAACAGCTCAGGGTCCAAAGTGGCAGGCGAATGGCTTTTTCATACGAACACAATTCATCATTGATACCGACGACTAGGATGTATTTCGGGGCGTCTCGAAAGACTACCTTCGGCGAAGAAGTCGCAATGGAAACGAAAGTGCTGAAGCTGATGAAAACGCTTGTAAAATCAGGGAGACAACAACCATTTGAAATGAACAGCCTGTCTAAGATAAACCTGCATTCGGAAAGACGCTACCTGACAGTACCAACGGGGGATATTCGATTAGGATGTTGAAAGCAAATGTCGTCACTATAAACGGGCTCGTTTGCGCTTGCGTTAAACTTCTTGCGTCATTAGACAGTTTAATATATAAAAAGCTTAAGCAAAAGAAGCTCAGCAGTTTGTGATGGCCTTTGCAAAAGCTCTTCCAAGTGAAATTACGATGATTTCATGTTGTGCTTAAGTACGCCTGTTAAATCATTTAGAAAAATACATCCAAAAGCCTTGTACGATGTTTGTCGTTTGGTGATTATCATGCCGTTTATAAGTGCTGATAATAACGCATGATGTAACAGGCCGACGAAGCCATGGCTCGTAAACTTAGGCAGAATCATCATTTTACCTTATAATGTATTACCATAACGAGCCGCTCATGCGACAGAAGAGGGACAATAGCATTGATTTTGTCAATTTAAGGTATCCAATAGACAAACATCCGACTAGACAATGCACATGCTTTATCATGGTGATTCAAATTACGATAGTGCTATTATCATTACCCCTAATGGAACGTAATGTTTACTAAGTATGAAAATAATCAAAAACACCCCATTTTCTAAATTCGACGCAGTCGCAGATAGCGAACTAATATCACCAGTGTGTATGTAACAACTAAAGTTAGTTGGACAATAGCTGTAGGTACACATATTAAATTCTAATTATCTCTTTCTTATTAATTAAGCTTACAGAAGAGCGTTGATTCAGTAAATTTCAAGAAATTGCAGCAATAAATTATTAATCCTAATGAGAACAATGTTCCCCATCAACGAGAGGGATACTCCACAAGATCCACTGAATCCATTAGACTTGCAGTTTTATTATTCTAGACTTAATCGCCTCGCTCGAGAAGTAGGCTTACGAAGCCCAAAATTACCACCTGTTGTTCAATTGATCTTCCAGAACGATTCCAGTGTGTTTTTGTGTACCTGGTCTCCCATTTTGACAAGGCAGTCTGTGTACCAATGATAGTCTTGTTTTCAAAATTGAAGCACATGTAAATACAGCTTTTAGTTGTAAAAAAAAAAAAAACTCTATTATTGTACCTTTAGAAACAGCAGAACAAGTACGCTTGTATCTCTAGGCAAAAATAGTCATGACGGCGAACAGTGATGTGATCAACAAGCAATTTGACCACAAACATTTCTTAAAACCCTCCAGGGATCAATCGATGGCCTTCCTATCGACTCTGTTCAATATTCCATTATCAGTAGAAGTTCAAAGATAACCACTCTATTGCATCGCTTGAAGCGGCAGAGGCGCTAGATACCTCAGTACTCTATACTGTCCGCGGCGACATGAACCTTCTACATATCGGAGTTTGCAAGCATGCGACGGACCACGATTCAGAAATGACAAATACCTAGCTAGCTTGATTTCGTAGGCCTTTACGCCGATGTCCAACACGGCGTTCCCATAAAAACATCATTCGTTATTGAGAAAGACGATTATGGTAAGCGATACTTTAAAGAGTTTCGGTAAGCTATATATTTGATGAAACATGATCATTTCGTCAATACGAAACTCTAACAAGGGCAAAACTGCAGTATCTGAAAGAAAGATCTATTGGGAGAAAAAAAGGCGCAGCAACAGTTTAAAAGCAAGTGTCTTTCAGGGGGCATTCGGAGAAAATACTATCCGACTAAGTTAAGTGTTTGACTTAAGTGTCGATGCCCAGAGCCAATATTGTTATTGTAAACTTATTCGTTTTCGTTCGCATTGAGCTTTTCCGATTATTGTAATAATTTCGATTAAACTCATCAACAGAATGTTGGCAAATAAAGTTCACTTTTCACGAATACGGACATTGCATTGCTTACTTTAGCCTTACTAATTGATCTACCTTTGAATTTGGCGCCTTACAAAATACAGTCTGGCGTAACCATCCATGATTTAATGCCATTTTAATTATACCGAAAGCTCCGATCAAGAGAGCTCTGATCAGCTGGAAACATTCACCCATGAAAATATTTAATGTATTTTCATTGTTGCGCTGTTAAAGGTTGAGTGGCCTGTCATGGCAACACCTAAAGTTGCCACAAATAAGGGGAAAATGTCGATTCAGGATAGGATTTCATTTGTTTTTATTTGTATTGATTTGCTTCTCTCTGCTCTCGCAAGCAGCAAAATCATTGAAACGCCCTACTGACGTCAGGCCTATGAGATATTAAATAAATAGTAAATGTTAAACGATAAATGTCGCCATATAAATTGGTATGACATTTCAACATGAAAATAGTTTCAACAGTGGAGACAAATAATAATATGAATTTTCATTGCTGATCAATGTAAATATTTAGAGAAGATATAAACCTGTTATAGGCTGCCTACGCAAACGCCACTTTTAAACGACATTTTTAGCGAAGGCAAATAAAGACAAGTAAATATAAAAAGCTTGAAAAACAGAATTTGTTCTACCTAGAAATCTTTATTTTATTCAAAAACAATATTACTGTTATTAAACCAAGCCACTCAAATGATTAATCAATACAACAATAACGTTTTTTTCAAAGATTATATGGGACGTTTGAAGCCAGTGAGAGATTTGTTGATAGAGCTTCCAACATTAAATGATGACTCCCTCAAACCCACCATTATGGTGTCCACCATGTTGAACGGCTTCATCTTTAAAACATAAAACACAATTGACATATTCCCGTTTCCTTGTGGGTTTTAGACGTATTGTTGGCTAATAGCGGCTTTCGTCGGTTTTCTGACGTAGACTTCTATCTCGAAGGTGTTCCTACAAAAAAAAAAGTCCGAAATAATCTCCTTATTTTCCTCACCTGTTTGGAAGATGCTCATCAGTCTCTTAAGATGTGCAGACATTTTGCCCCATCGGAACAGATTTGTTCACTAAAGTCACGTGATTGACATCAGTCACTATATCGCCGAAAAAAAATTGCCCAATGAATACTTTGCCCTATTCGATGGACACTTGATTTGCCGATGCCAGTAGTTTTTCAGAATGTTTTGCTGTAACTTTTTAGTGAAGTAGTGAAGCTCATTGATATTTTTGATCTATTGGAACGTTGTCTATGGGCATCCGGGACAGTTGCCTCTGTCTCAAGCATAACTTACATCCGGGTATTTGCAAGTTGCATCGGTGAATTTGCTTGAAATTTTCTGCGATTATACCTGCGATTATTGTACTTCTATTACACTTATATATTTCCGCTTTTTCCTCCTAAAGTTAACTACACCTTGAAAAGAAAGAATAATCAGAAAGCTATGAACCATTAAATAGCGCATAGATTTCTCGCTTTATCCTATGTCTATACAAGTTACGGACGGTGACCGGCTCCAGATATCATGTTGTTATCCTGCATTCAGACTATGATGTATCTAATGAATCTTTCTCGTATTTGAACGATTGGACGCGTACGTCATAAGCAGCATCCTTAGCCGTATCGTAATTAGTTAAACTAAATATTTCTACGACAAACTGTACCGGAGGCCTTCGAATTTAATTCTTCATACGCAGTGTACGTTTTATATATTGTATAACTTATTTATCTGTACGTAACACTGGTTTGATTCTGGTAACAGGGAACTCAACTTTTTTGATGAGGCCTTTTTCAGCGACTCGTTACTAAAAAGTCTGTCATGCCATTGCGTAAATGACTTCATCATAGCCAGTGATCATTTTCTCCTTCGTAGAAGACAATTATCATCTGGTCAAATGCCGATCTCATTTACATATTATATACAGTATTTATCGTGGCATAAATTTCTATCGTTTGACACGAACATTTTAACTGAACGATGAAGATTTTTTCCTAGAAGAAACTAAATTTCAATAAAAGTTTAATTAGAATTTATACGAATCACTAGAACAAAAAAAAAAGTGTGACCCATTTGACTGATTCGTGACACAATGTTTTGTTGTATGGGTAAATTCACCTCCCAAATTTCATCAATCTATATATATATATATATATATATATATATATATATATATATAGGCTTTGTTACTGCATCTAATTTTTTACATTTACGATTATGTTCTATTTGAAAATCTCTTTTCACATGAAAATAAAACAGCATAACTGCGTAACTCACTACACAAATGTGTGCAGCTTAAAATGTTACTATGAATGAAGTATTATACCATAAGGTGCAATAACTTAAGAAGAAAAGAGGATTGAGTTCAAGTTCTCTTTTTAATGAAATATGTGATTATAATGTGACATTTTAAAAAAAAAATGCTCCTCACATCGTATTGACATAAAAAAAAACAATGAATAAGTACTGACTGTTCAGTCATCATAACATACCTACACAAACAAATATAGGCCTAACAAAATCGTTTTTGGCGCCAAAAAGGGAAAGAACCCAAATTACAAACAAAATAACAAATAGAATGAATAGCTTCTTCGCGGGAAAACATTGCGTTTATCAGAAGACAAGTTCTTTTTAAATTAAACCTAATATCGAATATGTTTAGACTTCGACTGTTCATAGTTCTGAGCATGAGTAGGATTGATGTCACGTCTTGACCTCTACCTCATCTGCCTCGGCCTTGTGTGGTGCTCTTATGGAAGATCGTCTGTGAACTGCGCTGACCAAGTCTGAAAAAGAGGTAAAGGAGACGGGATCGGGGGGACACAAGGCGTCCAGCTGCTTCTCGGCACACTGTGCCATACGTTAATGTTCGACCGCGTGCGCGGGTCGGCGATCTCTATGCGATGAGTATTCCCCGATTCGATAGTCGGATACGCCAGACTCGTTCGTGGCACGGTAGACGACGGAGCTACTGGCGACTCCGTAGCGCGTCTCTTCTGCTCTGCTATGGCTAACACCAAAGCACCCGTTTGTGTTTGCCGGGCTAATATAAAGCCTCGCGTATACCATGTAAGCGGATCCTTGCCAGGAGTGAGTCGTGTAATTTTTACAGGTTTTTGACCCTCCTCAGTGAAAAGCACACGAAATTGATTAATGTAGAGGCGGACGTTGAATAGTGAGCCCAGTCGAAACATACACTGAGATTGGCTTTCACCAAAATACGTTACCAGAATTCCGTAGTATTGTTCATCAGTAGGCGTTTGTAGGATGAATACTTTTGCCGTATGCTTTACTGAACCAGTATGTATTGTTTCCATAATATATTGTTGGACAAGACGCGTCGAATTGTTGGCTGTGACCTCGCACCAAGGAATGACCTTCGCATATATCGGTACATCGATTAGTGAAGGTTCCATTGTGGTCGCCGGCTCTTCGCAGACCATGGTTCGCTCTGAGGATCTAGTGGCTTTGTTCTTCCGTCGTTCTCTCAAACGTGCGACGAAGCCAAATAAGGGAGGATGCCTAGTTGGGAGTCCCTTCCGCGTCGACTGAGTCAAGCCGCTCATGAGCTTCTGTTTATAATGAAAGCAGTTATCGACGAGCGCTACGGTGACGTCAGGTTCGAGACAGATCGGCTCGGCCGTTGCGATCAGCATTCGCGCTTCTAACTGAAGCTTTCCTTCTAGCGACCAATTAGCAGCAATCTGTTGGACATCGCTGGTTACCAATGAATTACTCGTTTCTAAGAGTGTGTATTGTATAGCCTTGTTTTTTGGCAGATGATTATGCACACTCAGTGGTAAACGACCGCTGCTGAAAAGGTGTGAATGGCCCAACGAGTCAAGTAATTGCGCCAGCACTGGAGGTAGTAGACCGTGCTCAACCTGCTGCAGAAAGTCATCTTCGTATGGATTTCGCTGGGATCCAACAGTTTGACCCGGAAGGCATAATGTGTAGCCGTCAGTAGACGGAGGTGGCTTCGCCTCACAAGTTTTCTGAGTAAACGGGTTTCTAATGAGTTAAGTTTTGCAAGGGCTTAGTGACCGTTGCGACTCAGTCTGGTACAGCTCAGAAAGCTGCGCAGACAGACTAGTCGAACGCGTACTCCGATGCCGAAAACCTCTACGTCTGCTGCGTAGACTGGATAAAGCGTTTGTCAATCCACAAAACGGACATGGCCGTTCCTAGTCTTCCATCAGCAACTTGAACAGAGGCGACATTGTTGCTGCTGTTTTTACGTTAAATTACCCTTGTGTAAATAAAGCATTTGTATGAAATTTCATTCCAGTCTGACAAGTCGTAATTAAGGGACAGCAGCTTTTACCGTGGTTTGTTCATGTTGTTTCGTGATCGTAGGGTGCCTTGACTGACAAGATTAGTTTTGTTAGCGTTCTATTCTGGTTTAACTCTTCACTTGATCAACCTCCAGCGATTCGCTATTGTTGGAACAGCATCAACTGCCGAACGCAGATATGAAATATGGCACTCAGAGACAAGGCTCCAGTAGATAACTTATTAGACCGTTCCATTCTTGCGTTCCTTTTATAAAAATACATTAGAACTTTAGTTCTATAAAAAGTTTTATAAAAGTGTGACGAGCAATACCAAATACGCTGTTCACCTTTACAGATCATAGACAAAGCGCGCTTTATTTAACTGGTTATGTTGTCAAAACAAGCATTAATGTGTCGTATAGTCGTTTTTACGACGCAGATTATACATGTTATTTGTTTTTAATTGGAAGCTTCGTTCGCTTAGCCTTAAAATAGTTTCCTAAATATAACGCATCTGCAAAGGAACTTGCATCAAAAAGGAATTGTTATACACCATCATGACGTGTCAGTTTCCGTACGCACGACGGCAACAGCTATTCCTGTTTCGGGTGTACACTCTGCCTACGTAGACAAACGTCTCCTGTATTGTTGTGTATTGGTATACGTTCACCTCTCGAACATAATCTGTTGTACATTGTCTACTTTGAGGCGGATCCCATATGCATATGTCGCATCACTGCCCATGGTTACGTTAGCTATTATATGTTATGTCATCAAGCCGGGCAAAAAAATTGCTGACGATGTGTGTCGACGCAGCCTTGTGCAGGAGTAACGACTACGGCAAACTTTCACAATGATCGATACTGTAGTTGTGTTTTTTCGTCGTTTCCGCTTTTATCCATTCAGCTTTCCAATATGGCGCCGAAAAGTATCATGGTTTATTTTAAAAATCACTCAAGAACACACCACATCTATCAGAGTTAGTATATGTCTTTAACAGGTCTTCTCTGCCATATTAAGATATATTTCGAACCTGTAGTCTTCTATCGAGCTATAACAGCCCAACATATACTAGAATTCTCGTTTGGTGCGCACTTAATCGTATCATTGTGACTTATCGTTGAGTAGCGGACTGACTTCACTGTCGCAAGGGAAAATTGACAAACAACATTAAGTCAAATAAAGGGCGATGGTATTCGCGACGATATCCACAGCGAATCTTCCATTTGTCGTGTAGGAACTATTGTAAAACAACCCACAAAATAATTCAAATTTCAACTTTGCACGTTATCGGTACGATGCTTTAATCTATGAAATATGGCTTCATAATTCTGCAAACGAAAAATTCTCCAGTAACCAACATAGAAAACAATAGCGCGAAAAAACTGCAATTTTCTCTGACGATAAAAGAGGCCTTTGACCGACCGAGTACCTGGATCGTTCACGAATGAGTAAAGTAAACGATTATATAAATATAGCATATAATCACAAAGTACGTGCCTGACATACACCGGCTTTCTGAGAGCATCAAAACAGTCTTTAGGCTGAACGTCAAATTTTACTTACGTAGGTTATTATTGGCGAAAGCAGCATGTCACCATAATACAGATCCCAAATTACGGTTGAACCCAAACATCGATTATCTCCTTATCAAGGAAGTCTACAACAATAGTTAGCCAGCTGCGCACTTAATGGAGAGTGCTGTTCACACGGATTTAATGCAAACTGGCTTTTGTTAGATGCAAAATAATAAACTCATTTAGCTTTTGTTATTTGACTCAGGCGTCCGTCTAGCCCCTAATAATTTGTTATTTTTATTGGTTAATCAGCTCAGTATTAAATCCCTGATTGTCAGATTGTAAATTGTCACTAACTAGCCACGCACAGTGCACTGTGACTTGTGTGAATAGCGCGAAAACGTAAGACCTCTTTCTCCTAATCACTGTCAACCTTACCCCCTTTCGTTCTGAGTGTTTCAGAAGTTGTGCCTCTGCGTTTTACCTCTACGTCGAAAAGGGGTTCGATAGGCTGAGCAGTGCAGGCTTAAAGTCACTTGAAGCTCACACTACCAAACTTGCGGCATCCCGCTTCTTAGTTGTTCCTGATGGCTTCCTGCGTGCTCCTGGCGGAGGCTCGATACGGGAGGGACCCTAGCAACAGCGTGAAGATTTGTTTACCACTGGATCATTAGTTTACTGCAGCTATTATTTCTAAAACTCCTGCTGCATTGTCCTAACGTTAGAAAGTGATGTGCAATGAACCGTGTTAACACTGCCAGTTCCGTTGTGAGGCTGGGGGAGACCTGGCACTCGTCGTCCATTTTCAGCCTATTTTCCGTTTGTTACTTCTTTCATTATCTTTTATATGCAAACAAACAGGACAGTCCTAGTCATGTGTGGCTGCTGCTTTATCGAGGAACCCTAAGAGTAAATTCTTCTTAGACGCAACCAATTTGTGTTTAGGCGCGCTCAATCCATTTTGTCGACGGCGGGGCAGTATTTCGAAAGAAACAGAATGAAGGAGTCGACTGGAACGCCGTAATGTGTCCTTCTGTTTAATCGCATATGTCTCCTTCAAGACAAGGACGAAGAAAAAGAAATGAACGGGTCATGTTGCTGATATAAGATACTAAAATTACCAACTCTTGATACATATTTCATACAGTGAACAGCTAAGGAATACAGATTGGGAAAATAGCACATAGCATGTGATCCGAACTCATTCAACTAAGGCATAGGCTACCCACTGAAATTTAGCTAAGTAACTGGTAAAAACTCTCTTATTGACAATTGTTAAAGAGATAACATTTGGTAATAATTACTATAATTATCGATATCGATGTCGTCTATAAACGTTTTCAAAGTACAATACACATCAATGCGCAGCAACCAAATTATAATTTATTAAGTTATTAAGTAAAAAGGGCTTATTCGCTGCATTTGTACCATAGTTTTCTGGCTCCTTTTTGACGCCGTATCTGACCCGAATAAACCTGTCAGTTCAATTGTTACTAGCCTTTAAAGACACGGATCTCAAAAACGTATGTAGGTACTATTTTGAAATTTATCTTTTGGCGAGAGCTCAATGTGATCAAAGGTTTGGAGAAATCTGTAAGGTTCACGGACCCGATATTATGGGCCACTTTATGGAAGGGGGTTTATTTGATTTCAAAACGGGAACTTCAGCGTTCAGGATCGATCACGTGCAGGTTGACCCTCTAATCGCAAAGGCACTGAAATCCTTAACTAGTCAATCAAAGTACGTATGTCCGCTTTTGTCAGATCGGGGAAACGATGACGACGGTCAGTCGAGCACTGCGTACACGGCCAATCGCGTATTCCAATCGAACCAGGATAATTTTACTCCTGGTCGGGTGATAATGAATGGATGTTCTGTACTAGCACCACTGAAAATAGGCCAAAAATGGCCAGAGCGTGTAAATCTGTTTCAAGCAAGAGCTAAAGCAAGGCTCCATTAGAGTATGATGATGTTGTGAATTTAGTCGAACTACAGCAGAATGCCTTTCTATAAATTCTACTCACGTAAATTTAAGCGTTACCTACATTGATTACAGCGAATTGTTCCGATTTTTAAGGAAATTCATTCAAAAAAATACGTTTTTCCTTATCCAGGTCATAACCTTCCGATTATCATTTTTCTTCGAATATTGCAAAAATTTCTTAACAGGAAGGATTTCCAATATTTAGAAAGGGTAAATAAAACTCCTCAACTAGTGCATTGCAAATAAAGATATTATAAGACAAGCATGTAATTGAAAAGCTGCCTGAGAGACGGGTGAAGCGTATCGCTGATAACGGATCATTCATCGATCTGATCTAAGAAAAAATGGCTTTTATTCGAAGTTAGGTACAATTACCCGCCTGCATTACATTTCAGCAGTAACATCGCTAAACGTTAGAAGAAGTTGGGCTTTGGCTGAGATTGCGGTCAGTAGAACGACAGCAGAAATTCACATCATGTACCTTTTACCGGATTTTGCAGGAATTGTCATTATGAAGAGTAAGTTACCCGGCACTGAGCTAAGTATCAAGAAAGTTAATTTCTTCGTAGCGATTTCAAATCGAGTCACACGCATCTTTATTAAGACATAGAATAAGACAGAGATCTCAATAACATATCATCATCGTACATGATAGATTGAATGATGTTGGATATCCCGACAGCTCAGACTACGTACGTTACAGTAAAGCACAATTCAGTAACTTCAATGTTACGGACTAAGACGAAGGCTGAAAGAAGTGCTGTGTAAAAATTGGAATATTGAAGGCGCTTATGTTGACTGAAATGGCCTGGTGGTTTCAGAAACACAACAAAGCTCGCGTGAAGATTATTTTCGCATGACTTGATTATGACATTGGTCCTCTCCAGATTCTACTGATCCACTTGATAATTACTAGCCACGTTATGTTAAAGTGATGCATTAATCGTTTCACACGCGTTGTTCTCGTAAGCTAATTTTCTCGCGTCTTATGTACGGATAGAATGTCTGTTTTCCAAACGTGTTTGTAACGTACTTTCCCCAATAGCTTTGCTGAAAGCACACATCGCTTATTGTCACCATCACCACGAAACGCTGCAGGGCTTCAGCTGCATCAAGCCACTTCCGCAGCCGTTGTCACAAAAAACTCTAAATTTTTCCCATTGGATGTTCTACCATTGTGGCGATACCGACGGTGACGGGTACGACGATGAAAAAAGTAGAAATCTTTCTTCAAAGTGGCACACGGATCTCCATATTTCATTGGCTGACCCAGCTGTCGACACAGCAGTGTGTTCTCACCGTATTACACGTACCTCTTTGTTCTGTTCATCTCCTGCAACCTTCAGCATTCAGGGGTTAGCAGCTGGCAAAGATAAAGCGGTACCGAAAAAAGCTACAAGGAATAGTCGAGGAGACCAAAGAAAACAGAAAAAGTAAGCGATGTTCGAAATCTGGTAACGGCCTTTATGAGCACACGGCGTAGACGCAAACAGACAACGTCGCAAAGCTTTTTCGCTCTATTCTTTATCGTCTACTAGGGAGTGGTTCAGGCGGAGTCGTAAAGCAGTGGTAAGCTTGAAGTGTGTAGGTTCGTATCTGTCGAACGGGAGCGCACCACAAGGTCTTCGGTTGCCGTTGGCTGGCTACATTTGCACTCGTTGCTCCCAGGAAGTGGCGAGGGAAGCGGTCACGGTTTTTTTTTCGGGTGCATCTCCTTTTTCTGATCGAGGCTGTTGTGAGAGGGCCTCGTAGACGCAAACTATAGTCGACATGAGCGAGTGAGCAGTTCGCGACGACTTGTTCCGCTGTATTCTGGTTAAGGCTAAAGGTGGCCCCAGCGGCGAGGTAACGGAGCCAAACGGCCGTCGACCAGTGCACGACAGATGTTACATTCATCTACATTTGCAGATGTTGGAAAGGACTGGATGGATCGTTGCTGTTGTCTCTAAGCCTGTGCTGTCCTCTCTGCTCGTTTGCTTGCTGGAGCAACGTGGCTGGTTTGGCTGAATACGCACGACTACGGAGCGAAGAAGGGATAAAGAAAGCCGAGGCCTCGTCTGCACAATCCTGGCTGTCCTGGTCGGCTTTTACTTCAGTGAACAGAGACTAGAAGGGCCATCTAACTGCGGTGGCCGAATATAGCAGCGGCGACATCGGTGAGGGGGGCAGCTTATTGTTATTCGTCGGGCATGTGTAGGGCACTATGCCAACGAATCTAGGGCAAGTGGCATGTAGGCAAATTGCAGCAAGGTGACGGTACATACAGGGTGATTTTGCATAATTGCATCCTACATAAATTTACCATACGAGGGCATCCCTTCATCAATGGCGTGCGGTAGCTGATGTTTGGTAACTTGTTCCGTTGAGGGGTAGAAAACAAAAAGCTATGAAAATATGCCTCTCTGCTTTATAAATCTGGCGTTCGTTTAGAGGAAGTGGCTTTTTTTTGCACCCATTAGAAAATACTCACTTACTCGTGCGCTTAACTTTTGTTCATATGTCATTCAGACGAGATAATTTTTCTCGCTAGGGATATTTTGACACACTGCTTACCTAAAAAAAGGTTGCAACATCTTAAAAGCGAAATATAGAAAATACTCGAATACGATCCTGCGATGATAGTTACAATAGACACTGTGTAAGGATTGAAAATAGATAGATGACTCATCGATATAAAACGACACAATTTAATGACTTTATTTATCGATTACTAATAATTCGTATTGTTATGGATATTATTATCGGATCCTGTTGATTTGTCCATTATTTGCTTCGGGCTTTAGTTGACTCTATACAAAGTTTACATGAACGCAAATAGAACGGCGCGACACATCACAAAATAGTATTTTATTTACTCATATCGGAGTTAATGCTATTGCGGCTGTTGCAAAGACAAGGCTTGTTGTGTCAGTATCGAAAAAAGTTGCTAAATAAAAATGTTGCATGTAAAAGATGGCACGAAAGATATATTTAATGCTACTAAAGTGTCTACATTAGGATTAACAAAAGGTTACCACGATTACGCGTTTAGTTAAACGGCTTGTTTGAGACAAGCTTACCGAACGTCGGACAACAAAAGTAGGTACATGAATATGTTTGCTGAAGATTTTTATCAGGTAGATGCAGTCCTGGCCCCACTGTAGCCTGAAGAGTTTTCTAATGTATCTAAGCAACTTCTATTTAGAAACAGATGAGTCAGCTAGGTCGGCAAGCTGCTACTTTTGGAGGTTCAAAATAGGTTGGGTAAGCCGGCAATGTTTTAGGCCTGTTTATAAAATGCTGCTATTTTCGCATGTTTCAATTAGATAGATTGGAAATACGGCCGCGAATACGATTTCAAGCATCACCAGAGGAAAAGGTCAGGCCGAAACAAAACCGTGCTATGGTGGTTACGTTTCACTAGTGACACACAGCTTTACCGAACACGTCCTCTTTTTTTCTTTGGCTGAAAAAGTCTACTGTTCGAGGATAGGCTTTAACTTTGACATATAATGCACTCTTCATAATATTGATACCGTCCTACTCAAATCAGTTAATTCATCGCTTTACTCGTCTCCACAGCCGCAAGTGCCAAGAGCAGAACGAGGCCACTGAGGGCACCCCGTATCAGACGCACCGAAGAAAAACAAAGGTTTTCAACATTACTACTCGATGATCTATGTACGTTCATATAAATAGCGTACGTCGTAAAAGATTGGCTAAGTTAACACTGATCGGGCTCTATTCCGGTGCGAGTAGTACAATGTCGTATAGATTAACAAAAATTCTTAATAAAAAAGAAGCGTCAAACATAGGTTTGTTACGATAGATAAAAGTCACGCTTTGTCTGTCCAGGCCCCTAGCAGATTAGCGCTACGTTGGCGGCACGCAGAGGCCATTTACGACTAGTTCCGTGTGATTTGTATTTTGCACCACTATGTCAGTGTGACTTTGTATTCAAGCCAGCCAACCCCGTACCCATACACATGCAGCCCCTTTTCGAACGCTACCCGATAATAAACAGCAGGTAACATAGACTTATTTCTGCCGTACTTTCTACTCGCGGTATTTTCAACGACCGTGTGCGAAATGCAACGGCACGCTAAGGTACAATTAAGATATGAACGTATATAGGTAATTTTTCCTTTCCAGTTTCCTTCGCACTATGACAAGGAACTCATTATAGATTTCTGAATCGATGCCATCCGGAAGGAATGGAAGAAATCGTGTGAAATCATTCAGTGCTGCGTCTTCAATGATTAGCTAACACAGAGAGATAACGTCAATTGTATACATACCGCCTAGCTGAAACAGGGCGCACGTGAACGAATGAAGATATCTCTGTGTCGTGTTAGAAGGTTTTAGATAGAGAGATGGAGGAATGAAGAGAACTGATCAGAGAAAAAAAGAACAGGTGTATTCTTATAAGCTTGTATTTTTCACAGATTTTTGAGATAAGACGATAAATGCAATTTCTGTCTAAGTCAACGATTTAATTAATTTATTGTTAAGTCAATGACAAGCGGCGTAGAGGTTCGTTCCCATGTATGTACCAAATTTTTAAAGGTTGTTCTTAATTGAGTTTTTGCAGGTCCGTTTTCAATGGTTAGTGTAATATTAAATGGCTTAACGATTAAGCCAACGTGACTGGCTAAGGAGGCTTTAACGGTCAGTAGTGATTTCGTGACTAGTCCCATAGCGGTAAAACGAAATACCCGGACGATGGCAGGAGTTTCCTTTTCTGTTTTCAATAAAGGACCCTTTTTCAATAAAGGGTCGTATCGATTTTCGAAACAGAAGTGACTTCTGATGATGGCAGAAAAAAAGACTGATACGATTAATGACGCATCGGGATCGACATACAGCTCGACGAGTGATTTCGCCGTCTCCACCAATCTTGCTTCCCACAGATACTTTGCAAAATTCTACTTTCTGGCTTTCTTTCAGTACATTGCGTCCTGTATCCATCGTACGTACTATGCAATCAACGTTTGTCCGTCTTGAAGAGAAAAGTGACAAAGAACCTGTATGAACATGTTGAAATAGGCTAACAACACGTTCCATGTTAGCATATTCTTGTGTTTAGAGGAAATTGCATTCAATAAGTTATAAATTCTGTAAGAAGAGCTAATAATCCGCAAATTTTGAAAAGGGCGGGCATTCCAACTCTTGACGAACTCTCCCGGTTTGTGACTAACGTCACTTGTAAGCTGTAGAGCCATTGCTTTTTTGGTTGACTGCTAAATCTTGTTGAAGGTTATTTTTCGTGTTTTCAATGGAACTCACTTTAGATGAACACAGTGGCACCCCTTACTCACCTTCTCCATTAACACGGACCATATATTTGCTTTACCTAAGGCACTTGGCGCTGGCACACGTTCGTGTACTTTCATAGAAAAGTAACCTGCAACCTTCATTTTGTAATTTGAGCTAGATTTCTAGGCATCATCTATACTGAACTGTTATGATGTCAAGGAAGTATCGGTGTGGGTTTCCAAGTTGTCCAGCTCAATGCTGACACCACATTGGGTAGTGAATATTTAGTTGGGTGTAAGATAGATAGCGAATAACGCTTGCTTAGACAGCGGAGGCAACAACGCCACTGGCCTTCACACCGAGCTTATTGGCAGGTGGTCGCGCACCAGGATCAGTGAGATTTCGAAAAAGCAGATGTAGCGCGGCGCATTGTCCGACTAGATCGGGTAGTCCTCGTAGGACCTCAACAACGGAGTCCACTTGCTGGTCGCGAGCTCGGAGCTCTGCACGAGTTCTTCGATAGTTATCCTCCCATAGCTGTTGTGAGCAATGGAATTTCGCAGCCATCGCCCGAACTAGCTCCTCTTGACCTTGCGCCGATTCGCGAAGTTTGTTGATCTGAAATTGTTCGTTATAGTAGAGTGTTATAAGAACTATACAGAGTCGGCGAGTCTTATACGAGGACGTTCAAATTCGAGGCGCACTGGTGAGACCACATCTCTAGCTAACGCAGTTCAGCCTGTGGCTTTACTGATGGAAATTGCATGAAGACTTTGTATGATTATTTATACGAATTTACGTCACATTCGTTAGAAGGTCAAAACATTTCCGAGATTAGTGGCTATCGTTTAGGTTGAGGGAGTTCCATTGAATACTCAAAGAAATAACGGGCCATTTTAAGAAGAGCCATCAAAAAAAAAAAAACGATATTTCATCTAGTTGGAAGCTCACTGAAGCTCTCTTGGAAGTTATATTTCTATTTAAATCATTATTATTGAGAAAAACATTACGGAAAACATTGGAGAAAGGCCAAATCAGTCAGTCGGTTCGAAATATGCCAAACTAGATGCCTCTTGGTAGAAGGTGAACAGTTAATCGTCGTTTTTATCTGTTGCCTTTTGCTTTATACAATAACTTCATGTCAGCCTCTAATGGCGATGTAAAGAATAGCAACCTTTTTTTCTATATAGACCAGAACAGTGATGGATGCGTGACCTGCGCACGCTTTGTGACAATTGACGCTTAGCAGTTAAAGTGTACCTCAACGCGGCTGACCCTTCGTAACCTTTCCAGATATCACATAGTGCGTGTCTTTGTTGCGTGTAACAATACTGATCGCGGAGGAGCCTTCTGACATTGGGTTTTCGTTAGCACGAACCTAGGTGAACACGTGGAAGCAGTCTTTTATAACGGGCTTGTGCGTCGAGTGCCCACAAGGTTATTCTTGGTGCGTCTTTGAAGTCGGTGATGATGTAAGTGGGCATTCCTTTTTGCGCATTCCAAATTATTATGAAGCTTGCGAAAACATTCCAACCTTATTATGTAGTTTTACCATCACCCAACAGCACACAAATGCAATCGGTACCACTATCCAAAGGTTAAATATGGGCGGTATAGAAACTCCGTACAGCTGCTTCTGTAATGAGCGTGAGTTCAGCACGTGATAGATATACAAAGAACACGAAACGAGAAGTTTATGAAAATTGTTAGAAATTAGGCATCGTTGTTGAATTCCAACAATTAATGCTTACTTCAACGCGAACTTTCTAAAAACGATTTTTTCAGTGATTTCCGCACTTTTTTCCTTTCTTGATTTAGATTTTTTTATTTTATTCGATGTTTTCCCACAGTGTAGGAATTATCAGAGGCTGCATCTGTTTGAGATCAACGAGGCATAAATTAGCACGTTTCGTACGCACGATCGTTTCTAACATTAATAAACTATGGAGTTATAAATTGCTTTGTCATAAGGAATAAGATACAGGTTCTATTAAATCGAGTACAGCTAAATCACTGCTCGTCGAACGGTAAGTTTAATAGACCGCCTATATGAAGTACAAGTTCGTTGCGTCCATCGGTCGAAATTTGTCCTGACACCCAATCGACATAAACACAACTCTCGTCCTCAGTGCCCATCACCTCACACCCATGATTAGTGTTGCATGCGAAGCCAAATAAAGCGACTCAATGACATACGCATGACCGATGCCGTACTTCTGCTGTAGCAAAAACGCATGGGCGGATTTCAGATCGACTGTTTCAGCGACGTCTATTACGCGACCGCACACATTACGTACCACACGAACTGCTACGTGTCGCAGTAGCGGCGGTGGAACGGTGGAGAGAGGATGGGGGGATTCGAACAACGTAATTGGTCAGGGCAAGACGTTATATGGATCGTCGGCAGACAACATAGATTGAAAGGAGTTATTTTGTTCGCGTATACAACTATTATCTCTCGAATGTCGTTGTTGTTTGACACACGCATTGTAAGGGCCGAAAGGTCTCGCACTACCGTGCTGAATGGCACAATACCGAACAGCCCTGTTTCATTATAGGCTAGAAATACCGAAGATCAGTGGCAAAGATATTTTGAAAATTTTACGCCTGAAATGATTACGATCGCATCGAGTGATCGTTTTATATGGCGATGCGAACGTTAAAATAGTATATACCCATTTTTCAAACCCTTTGCTTAACGGAATACTAGCTACGGTTCTGGAAATGTAAGAACGAATGAAAATTAGTGATATACAATACGAGAGCAGATGGTGCAAGAAACAGCCGCAAGCATATGCGCACTCAGATCTAGAACGACTCATGGACGCTTGGGAACAGATGCAGAACACAAGCTTTGTTATAACACAAACAGTCAAGCTGGCACCAGAAAGGAAACGAAGTTAGAAGGGATAAGCGGCCTGTTTATAAAGAGGCTAAGTAAGTAACCCTGAATTACAAATTTATAGCTTTAAAGGTTCAGGCGTGATTGTTGGTTGCGACTTCAGAGCGTCTTTCGAAGTGACGTGATTCTGAAATCGTGGAGTTTGGTTTTAGGTGTCTTAGTTAAATTAGCTTTTATTTACCTTTAGTAGAATAATGACTTTGGTGTATGAAATGTTTGTACTATTATTAACGGCCTAATTCGTTAGACATAAATAATGTGTAAATTTGTGTCATTTTGCGCGGCATTATATGTTTTTTTTCTATTTTTTAAAATTTTACTACAGGGTGTCATGTCCTTTTGCAGACTTGTATACATGCTATATACCAATCAAATATCATACGAAATATGCCTATTATACAGTGTGAGTTGATCGTGGAAATTAATTGTCTCAGTGACTGCTTTATGGAGCCTGGCTTAAAAAATTTGGAAAGCCATTATCTATGTTCGAAACAGACGCCGAACACGAACGGTGACGTACTCTTAATTTTAGCTGTAAAAGTATGACCTATACGTAATCGCTTGGCTTTTAAGTTCTTTTTTTTCAGGTTCATAAGTGAGATGTGTTACCGCTGCCCCTAGAGATGCTAGTAATTACCTAGAATACCTTAGAGATGAACTTTTGAACAATTCATTACTTTGACTTTATAGTGTATGTTAATTGAATTCTGCTCTTCGACCGAAGCAGAAATTCCCTTAAATTAAACTAGAATCATTTATTTGTTTAAATAGCATCTACGCTATTAGTTGTATAAATTGACAAATTTATTTGTAATATAGCTATTCATGTATATCGCTAGTCTACGACTTGATAAAAATTACTCAGGGGAGCCCGCTGTCATAACGCCTTTTGGAAGCATGCATGAGGTAAGTAGCGCACTAAACCTAGGAAATAAGTCCTTGAAAAAGAGCAGGATCAAATGCGGTAGGATGCTCAAGGCGGTGTCTTCGAAATATTACAAGAGAGAAGTTAAAAAAAAAAGTAGGTCTTACGCGAGCCATTGTAGGATCGTATAGTGTGTTTGTATTCTTGCCCCCTGAAACACGAATACAACGACCTCACGTGTACCTATGACTGCACTCCGTGTATTATGTTACATATACCTCTTGTTTTAGCAAAACATTTTCATGTTGCAGAGCCGCTGGATTAACGTAAGGAGTACAAATCATGTCCGGCGAAAGACTCATATTAGTTTTGCAACTGGGTAGCGGTGAAATGTCGTCCTGAACGCGCTCGACTGGTACATTCTGTCGACTGTCGTCAGCGACCCCATCTAATCGGCACCGGCACGACCTATTTTCATTAGTAAATGGAATACCGAGTCGTCAGTCTAAATTCGTATCGATCTTTGGTTAGTATGCTTTTATTTCTTTCCCACTTGATTCTCATGCACTATCAATATGCTTGGTATTCTATTTATTATTCAGTGAAAAAAAATTAACGAAAGCCACATTTTTCTAGCAGACCTGCTCCGGCTGTTAAGTTCGTCAATCTGTTGGTTCAGACTCTGGATGTCATGTCTGTGTTCGTCCTGTTTCCGAGACATTCGCTCACGGATTGCTCCCATTTCGGTACGACTGTGCTCCAGTTTAAGCTCAAGCGAGCGAACGAGTTCCTCACAGTCAGAATGGCGACGGCACATAAGGTCCAAACTATTCTTGAGCTCAACGCTGTAAACGCCACAGGATCAATGAAATACAGCGAAACCAAATGTCATTTAGTAGTCAGACAATTGAGCGACTATCAGAGAAGAAACTACCGATAGTGTCAAAACTTTGCGCAGTTACAGGTTTTTCTATATAAGTATGCTACACGGTTGTAACAATATTTCTCTAATTAAATATAAGATGAAAAGCCTCGGCTTTGTATGTACATTTGATCCTGAGCCGTTTTTATCTTATCCTGAAGCCGAGCTCGCAAAACGTGTCTGACTGCGACGGTGTGGCGCGCCCAAGTTAGTGCCGTGTTTTCAGCAATCTCTTGAACTTCTTCTGTGGGCGTTGCAGATGCTTCTCCATTAACTGCTAACATGGAATAATGGAGGACATTTTCCGGTCCGATAATCTGCTTAAGTTCGAGATCGGACAGGTCTAAATATTCCTCCGCGAAATGTCCATCTTCCCGAAGCACGGACTCTAACTGGCGGCCCAGCTCAAGAATCACCTGTTAAAGAGTTGCAATGAATGCACGCAGTATCCTAGTTTTTATTGTGCTTCTTTTTTTTTTCTTAATCCATGCAGCTAAAATTAGCTATTTATGATCGAGTTAGTGAGGCTTTTATAAGAGACTGCTTCGTAACACTCCGTTCACAACGTATGCATCAAAGAAACCTTCAGTGTTAAAAATAATCGCTGAGATTTATAGGATCCGATCCGGACTAGTCAAACACTACGTGCCCTTATAACCAAATAACAATGTGAAGGTAGTTGCCGTTGCGGTGGCTACGTCTATCACCCAGTTACCGCTTTGTGTGCTCACTGTAAAACTTCAAACTCTTACATGATGTGCCTGAAGCAAGCGACGCTGATTAGCACAGCAGTCGTCACAGGCGTATTGACGGCTAAGGCCATTGTAATTTTCCTTTCTGCTGTGGTCATAGAAGAGCTCCTCGAGCTTACCGTTGACACTGGCGAACTGGTGGGACTTGCCTGTTTAATCAACAATGCCAATCAAGGCATGCATGATCTAAAGTTAATTTGTGTGATAACTAGACCATTTAACGCATTAAAATAGTGTGCTAACGAAAAGTAAACATTTCAGGGCCTAAAAATGGCATTTATTGGTCTTATTTTCAGTGTCTAATGCTATATAAAACCAGCACATGTTGCGTATACTTGCTAACCTACCATCAGGTGGCGTCCTCTCGCTATTCTGTTCCGGTGATTTTTCCCTTGAGGAAAGCTGTTTTTGTTGCTGTGGTGGCTGGGGGTCCATGCCACTGCTGCTCACGGACTCCGTAGTGGCCATCGACCGGAGCTCATCTTCGGCGAATTGAAGTGCCTCCTTCGTCTCGCGAAGTTCTTCTATCGCTTCTGCTAACTGCCGCTTTATCACTCGCTCAGCATTTGCACGTTCATCAAGCCGTAGCTGGTAATCGCGCAGCGCATCGTGACATGTTGCCGTTTCCCGCACACTCGTACTTAGCTGCTCCTCCAGACGTCGCACCTGAAAACAATATTTTATAAATATACATACCTGTATACGCATATTTTTGTTATGAAGCATTGCCAGCTAGTACGGTTTATAAGGCATAATGTCGAAAGCAAGTTATTACATTTATATTAGAAAGATATATTGAATGCACCATGCCTTAGATCATCTCACCTTTGAACGATTTTCGCGCAATTCTCCACGATTCTCTTCGAGTTGATTCAACAGATCGACCACAATCCTGCCCGATTCATCTCCGTCCTGAAAACATATTGAAACGTGCGAAAAAAATGTCCTATCAAACGTTTATCCTGGACTACATTCTGTCGTTCGATCTTCCTGTAACTGACTTGGTCGTATTACTAAATTGGTTCTCTTTTGAAGACTGTAAAAATATAATCTATTTTAATAGTAATTTCTTTTAACAAATAACAGCTTTGAAGACAATGGCTAAAATACTACGTGGTATGGTGGCAAGCCTTCAACTCCCGGCCTTTGAATATTGTCTATCAGACATACATGATGGTGCCGTGTATTCTCTTGTTGAAAAATAACTTGGTTCCAGTAAAGTTTTTGCATTCTGTGTAACTCCTCTTGAAGACGGAGCACTTCCCGACGGTAGGCTTCCACTGCGAGCTCTTCACGACTTCGTTTGGAAGAACACCGAACCGATGAAAGCTGTTGTATTTCAAAAATAAGGTTACAGTTAGTTGTCTCATAATTTACTCAGTAAATCCAAGATATTATTATTATTATTACAAGTTACTAGAAAGGTATTGAAGTACAATTTCATTTTTAGGACCAGTGCAAAGACCGATGCCGGCGAAGATATCAGTGGGTCTAAGCAGAAACTAAACTAACCATAACACAAAAGCTTGTTGTAACAAATTTTCTACATCAAAAAATATCTGACCATATATATATATATATATATATATATATATATATATATATATATAATGAAAAATATATTTCCTGTATACTGTATTTCCCACGTTACGCTACTCATAAAACTAACGTTGCTTAATATCGATAACATCGATGCCAATTTTCGCTCGTAACCAGCACTTACCACCACATCTCGATTTTTACTGCCGCCACTGTTATTACAGCTGCTGTTGTTGTTGTTGTTAGCATCGCCGTCTGATTGAGGCGGCAATTGAGGTTCGAGCTCGGGGATACTGCTCAGTTCAGAAGGGCAGTTCGGAGTGTTGGAACTTCTTTGTCCCGTACTGGGACTCCTTAGCCCGTTACTGCGTTCCGCCTTCTCGAGGCGTTCAATAGCTGTCACAGCATTTCGATCGACGAGTTGTTGCCGGACCTTGGCGTACTCCTGTTGGAGCTTGAGATGTTCTGCCACAAGCAGTTTCAGATCGGCAGCATAATCCTGTCCATTGCTGATTCCACTATTGGAACTGTTCCGTGCTTCTCTTGGCTCACGCAATTCGCAACGCTCTCTGAAAAGTTGGCTGCTTTAAATACTACTTTAGGAAAGCGGATTTCTTGGTGCTCCACGTAAAATTTAACGAAAAGTTTGTTAGTTAAAAGTACTAGTTAAGTCTGATTTGGAGCATTGGTAACTTAATCCAGTAAAATTACAGATCGCTTCATTTCCTTTTAGAAACCACCCCTGATCAAAATATAATGTTCCTCTTTGTTCATTGGCTTGTTTTTGCCAATCCTCGTTTGCTGATGGCAAGCATCTAACAAGGCTATTCCTTTGTTCGCCAAATCTGTTGTCATCAGTTTATCAACGATGTCAAAAATTTTAGATAAAGCTCAGGTTTATAGAGTAGACCTCTTTTTAAAATGCAACCTTTTTCATATCTCATAAAATAACAAACTGAGAATCACTTTAATCCAATGATAAATAGAAACCGAACCATTTTCTTTTCTTTTAATCGCTTTAGACGTTGTCTAAGACAGTTTTTTTTTTTAAAATTTTTATCTTTGTTGGTTTTTGTCGTTTTAGGTTGTCACGCCTTTTGAACCTGAGAACTCTGTTTCATGAAATAGTGAAATTGTCGCGTTCGGAAAAAGGGTACATCTATTTCAAAGTTCATATCAAATGGACAATAATTCGCCTGACAAACAGAGAACAAATTAAGAATCATAACAGTAATAAACAAGACAATAGACGCTACTCTTTGAGCCTGTATGTATATACGTAATCAGGTAATTACACCTGAAATAATATCTGTTTTCCTGCTCGCACAGCCAAAAGTCAATATTTAAGTTTCACTGGTCCAACGAAAACTTATTAATTAAATTATCTCTTTTATAGCAGAGATAATTTCGTATGACGTAATTCGTACTCATACCTTGGCGGCGGTGTGTTTCTTGTGGGAGACGCCGGCGATGCGCGGGCGCTTAGTTTTGATTGGTCTCCTCGCGAGACAAAAGAGCGACGAAAGGACAACGAAGTTCCGCTGGTACTACTACGTCGTGTGCCCTCAGAATTGTTGCTGCCTGTCGTCCGTTTAGGAGAGAACATAACATGACACAATGAAGACATGTGACAACACGGTTAGGTTATAATGATGGCAAAATGTCCTAGCGAAGCCTGCAGCTGCTGTTTTACATATATGCTAAAGCAACAAACAGAATCAAGGACACTGAATCGGTACGATGCTTTAACATTGACCGTAAAGACTGAAAGTTTGTTGGGCAAATGACTCTGGCTCTCCAACGATGAACTGTTTGTAAAAGCACAACGGTTCTGTGACGGGTCCGCCATTAGGAACCTGCCGTAGGCCTTAGTGGCCTTCTAAATAAACCGGCCAAACATATCTTCGAGCTCTCTTCAAACATAGTAACGTAATATTAGTCAAAAATTGGTGGCTAGCTCGCAGCTGCTATTGCTGCTGGTGTTTTATAGGTCATGCTAAAGATTTTAATTTCAGTTCCATTGCTTTTGCCATATACTAGTTTATAGTACTAGAATAATGAGAATTAAGATGAATATATTTACTAACGTCTCTTTTTAAGTATCGTGATATGCTTTCGCAGTACACACAGGTAGCCCATATTAACAGTAACAGTGTATAAAATCCTCAACGCCATCAACCTCTTTTATAGGAGAGCACACAATCTCAGTGTCAATAAACGCACGATTATAGAACGGTAAAAGCTTAAACTGTTATTAAATACTGGGTTTTTAAACACTGCTATTAGATAAATATTAAATACTGTTAATAAATCCGTCCCTGTTACCTAAACTCTACAAAGTGTATCACTCGACTAACATAAAACATTAACTAAACGCATCCAACAGCCGTATTCCTCGTATTGGAAATCGGCCAAGTCGCACTTTGCTAAAACAAGGCTCAGCCAATGTGCGAAATCAACTAAAAGAAACAAGGTAGCATTGTACTCATTGTCGTCCTCTTGTGCGACGACACCAAAACTGCTATTTGCTAACCCAAAAATTAAGTGTATTCTATAGCATCTAGAAATGGAAACACCAGCACGAAGGCCTCAGCGTCCTAATTAGAGATTTCCATTGCTATAACAATACATTAATGATTGAAGACGAGCCATCTGAAGCTTGCCCATCGGCGCAATGGCAAATGGCCGGATAATGATTTGCGGAAAATGGGGCTGCGTCGGAATGTTGGGTCATATAAGCAAAAACATTTTTCCTTTGTCGTTTACAGACCCGGAAGATCTTGCCGTACGCAGTTAACATCAATTTCAAAAGAAGCGGAGTCAAAAAGAAGAAATGACAGGCCTAAGACGGTTCTTGCCTCTCTGTTGAATGAATACGCTGCAACAACACAAATGAAAGCAATAGTAAACGATTTTTTCCTGTGCTCAGTTCTAACGCCCGAAGTGCGTACTGCAAAAGAAGGCTTCTAAGCTCAGTTAAAGCTAAGACAGAACGTGGGATAAGAACTGCCCAAAGTGGGTTGAAAGCGGGTCACAGAGCTTCAGCTAAAATACCGTTGCACGCTAAAGCCCTTTCTGTCACGAAATATGAGAAAGATGTGGCCCTAGGCTACCTTGCATAGGGGCATAAGAGGCTCTGTTAAATAAGATGCTTAGGTTGAACGGATCTCGAGCAATTAACATTCATGTTGATTCCACTGATACAATAAAGCGGAGTATCGACGTAGAGAGTCATCAACTTAATGACAGTAGACAACACAAATTGATGGAAGTTTGTTGTAGCAAGTAGAGGTCTTGATCTATTTTCAGGTCAGGCGTCTATTAGTTCAAGTTATTCATACGCATAAATTAGTTCTTGCAAAAATCGCACAGTAAAAGCAGATAGCCGACTGCAGAATTGTTTTCAGAGTTCGCCTTTCGAAGTTGCCTAATAGGCAGACTTATAGCCTGATGACGTAAACGAATAGGACGATACAGGGAACTCAACGACGTTCTTAAAAAAAATTAAGGCATGAATATCAGGCCACTGCATAGTTATTTCCGACCTTGACGAATATCGACACACGAACTGGCCTTCATTGCACCCACCTACAGTCTGAATTTAGCGGGTGGGAGAAAGCAGACATTCATTTCCATTAAGACAGACATATATCCAAGCCGGTTCTGTAAAATCCAATCTATTGCACGAAGCGTTTGAAGAATCGCATTGTGAACCGGTGAAATCGTTTGGTTGACGTTGTACATTTGTAAAAGTACATGCTCAAGCCATAACATTGATTTGCTTTTTGATAGAATTTAGCGGTTATTCTGTCTGAACATAGATCAGCGCAAGTTCATCGTTTGATAAATTTTTACTTAAGTCTTACCAAGCGAACCATGGCAACTTTTCGAGAGAGCTCGAATACCATCTTTTTCGGTGCGCCCGGATTCAGCGAATAGAGAATGATCGTCGCGACCTGCTGCTACGAGATCCTTGTTTTTTTTGTGGTCCCTTAAAGATCCGCTTCGGGATAGCATTGACACGTTTCGGATATTTTCCTAGAGTAATCGACGCGATGAAGAGAAATTCAAATAACATAAGATGATTTAAGTCTAATGAGAAGATCAAATTTATAGAATATATAAAAACATAAATAATTAGGTATTTTAGCAATGAAATACCCACTGAAGCAAAATCAATACTAAACGTAATCGACTAAAAAATCAATTCTTGAAAAAAAATTTACTATTTTTAACCCTGACACCTCACTAAGTTAGCTTTTAGTTAGTGTAAGTAAGATACAACTTACTTGAATCATATCCTTGTTTTTTGATGGCAGTCGAAGAGATTTAGATCGCACGAGCGAAGTAGTTGACTGGGATAACGTTCTCTCCGTCATTGTCGGACGACGTGTTCGAAGGAGGCGAGCACTACTGAAATGAATCAGAGTTTTGGTCACGTTTGTTAATCATGCACTTTCTGCAAACGTAACAATTGATGTTTTCTATTAATTAAATTCGGTTAACCGATGATTGCCCCACAAATTGAATATGATGTGCCCCTTTCAATCATATTATATATGTGTGTAGGCTTAGATTATGTAGGGACTCATTTACATGGTTTGCTGCTAATCCAAGGGTACCGAGTCCAGCAAGGTCTTTGCTTTTACCCAGCAGAGCTGCAGATTTCGAGTCCGGGCATTTGCCGAACCGATCTTCTCGGGGCCGCTATCGTTTACATCGAAAATAAATTCGTACATTCGTTAGCTCACTTTGACATAACAATGACTATGTACTGCCCACACTTAGTGGTGGAAAACACATCATAATGCAATTGATATGTGACTATTACCTTTTGCGGACACGCAAAAGATAAACGTTCCGTTTTAGGGGGTTTGCCTATATCGTAGTCCCGAGAATGAGTCGCAAGTATCACAACAACAGCCAATGTACCGAACCATCGTGCCGTACGATAAGCATGTCCATACGGCACGTTGCAGTGCACGTTGCTATTCTAGAGTTTAATAACTAACGCCACATAATCTTCTGTACAGCATACGGCGTTTCGTAACTCGCTTCGGTTCAGAAGCTCGGACTTTATAGCAGGTATGGCGCACACGTGCCTCAGTCCTATTCTTCTATCCCAAGAAAACTGCTGACCGCTGGTAGAGCGTCAAGCTAAATGGAACCACATAGGCGCGAGTAGAAGAGACGACTGCAGATGCGGACTGAGCTACGAGAGAATAGAGCGACACGAACAACTATCTCATAGGTGGTTGGCGACTTCGTAATCAAGGGCCTTCCGTGGGCAGCGTTACCGCGACAACGTCCTGGTTCCTTATGAACACTGAAAGGATTAGGGCACAAGTCCGACTAAACTTCTTAGGAAGCTGATCTGGACGTGTGGCGACAAGCGCCGGAATCACTGGAGCAATCAGAATTAGATTTGTAACCGCATCGAGCGCATGTTTATTTCGAGGTTGTATCTGCGTATATAATAACGATACAACCTCTTCCTCGGCTGTTACAACGTACACAGAGCGATCCAGTATGGCACCTCTATTTGCTAACTTGGCCGAACCAATAATATGAAATGTCCTGAGCTATACTCCTTGATTCGAATCACGAACACGAGAAGTCGTTTCCGTGTGACAGAAGTAAGCAATAGATCGGCTTGTAAATAATCAGGCCTCACGTCCGTAGCCTTCTGCTGAATAAATACATATAGGGCTACACTGGTTCTGGCCGTTCTTGTTCGATTCATAAAGCAAACCTACCGTAAAACAAGATTAATACGAGTGAAAAAAAAATAGCAAACGAAGTTCATTGAAAGTCGAACCATTGCATAAACGCTAAAATACTTGCGGCGATGGCGGAAAAGTATAAACTTATTTGTATGTCCCAGAAAGCTCTTGAGGTATACATAATCCAAAATTTTGTATAACCTTAAGATTTACCTGGATTGTTTCCCTCTTGCTTCAACGCAAACGTCGGAATCATGATATATACTATCTATAGAAGAGTCATAATCAAGTTTACCTTCACGAAGCACACGCAGTAACGCGTTTAAATTGGGAAAAACTTTGTCAGACTGTCTTTCTAAGGGGCAGGTTATCATCTGCTACTGCTGGCGCCTGACTAACAGTAGTGTATCTTTTTTTAAATTTTAAGCAATTAATAAATGCAATAATTCAAGCAAAGATCAGCTCTTCTCCATTCTTCCCACGCTAGTTGAGCCCCAATAAGACAAAAAAATGTCCTTTTTTGCGGGAAATTGACATTCTATTCTATTACCTGTGGTTTCGAAAAAGCCTAACGAGGTCCTTCATGAGGTAAATCGAAATATCTTGGGTATAAATTTAAAGGGCTTAAAAATTAACCAAAATGGTCCAAAAAGCTATTCTTGATACAGTCAGGCTTTCAGTACAGAAATCAACGGCCGTTTCAGAGAGAAGAACATCATCTGCAAATTAGGTCGTCTTCGACACTCCTTTTTGACATTTTTTCAACTTTTCGGTCACTTCCGAGTTCTTACATCAGAGCAGAGCAAACTTCTCATTAAAGTTTGCTCTGCTATCAGCCCGAAATTTAATTCCGCTAGATTTTTTTTTCTAATGTAGCGTATTGATTCAATAATTTAACGTGTTTATGCCTGCCAATATCACTCGCTTGGTACATGATTACCATTCAAAGCTATTTCTCGATGAAAAAAAATGTAAGACCTTTACATTGATTAATCAGTAGAGTAGATCCCGAGTTGAAGCTGTAGTCACAATAGTAGTAGTAGTAGTAGTTATATTGAATGAAATTGAGCTTTATAAATGACACTCCGTTGACATATCTGATTTTATCTAGACAAAGCCTGTAGAACAAAACCTAAAAAAGGTCTTCAATTTAGACGCATTACCCCTTATATTATTATGTTCTTTAGTACAAAACGCGATAAATAACCTTATATTTCAACATTAGGCTATTTTAAAATGGGACAGGATTTCGAGGCGCCTCTTTTTTCATTTAAAATACATTTGTTCCTTTTGAAATCGGAGGCTGCTTGCTAGAATATCGTTGTTTAGCTTTTTTTTTGCCAGGCGACTCGTAGTAAATCATGGGAGATTAGAAAATTCGAGAAAATTGTGCCCCATACCAAAACGTTCACCGTGTATATAAACCGTGTATTCGGTGAGTGTTCTACTAACACGAACGCCTAGGCCTCAGGTCGAATAAACTCCGTGGAAGCTTTTCGACAATGATTCTCCCCCCTACAAAGATAAATAATGAAGAGTTGGAAGCTGTGGAGGAAACCGATTCACCTTAAAGTCCAACGGTATTATCAATCAGGTTTGATATATACCAAAACATCACCTCGGTCAACTTACTAAGTGCGGTATGATTTGAGTTGGCTTCAAAAAGCAGGAATACGGTAATTTCCCTCTCACAATGGCAACTCTCACCAAATTGCGATTTGTCCTTTACAATAACTGTAGACGATCCTATCAGTGGCTGGACGTCGAAACTTCATTCTAAGGCAAACGTACAGCGGCCATTGATTACTAGTCTAATGTAAAGATCATCTATTGCAGTTACTGAGTCTAAAGTATACCGTCGACAGTTAGAGAAGGGCTCCGCCTCAATCAGCTACGATTAGTAAATTACTGCTGTTTTATGACAACGATCGATCTCAATCGTTAGTTAAAATGTGAAAGTTTTAGGTGGAGGCTTTCTGTTATAATCCATACTGCCCGGACACAGACTGACGCAGATTAAAATTTTCAAAAAATTG